AAAAAAATCCTTCAAAACTCTAGAGTAAAATATTTTTAATTTGTTTGTGTAGAAATCGTAATTAAATTTTCTTTTTTGAGTAAAAACGTCGAGCGAGGAGTGGAGCTTGCCGTGGTCTAATCATATAAAGTGTGAAATATTTGTGTGAAATTCCCTATTTTGTTCGTTCGTTTTCCAATTTATTCGTCTGAAAGTTAGGAAAAAGGTATTCTAACAAGATCAAACTACCATCCACAGTTTAATTATGTTTTGTAGTAGAGTATTTATTAAGTTTTAAAAGTCCGATCATAAGCCAAACCTATTGGAGGTAGCGTCACAGAATAGGAAGTTATACCAGAAGCGTAACTCTAGTCGTTTCCCTTATTGTTTGACGTCCACGAAAATTTTTAACTCGCTCACGTCAGGCCACGCCATCCTGGCTAGTACAGCCGGAAGTTTTTATCAGGATTTGGTAGGTACAAAGTGCCGGTTGTACTAGCCAGGATGGCGTGATTGATGACGAATCGCTTGTAAAAACGCGGACAAATATTTGCTCGACTTACGCTTCTGGTATAACTTCCTATTCTGTGGTAGCGTTCCAGGTATTTTTAGTTCACTGTTAACAACTTATCCAACCTGCAAACCTGGTCAAAATACCACCCTAAAATATTAAGGCGGAAGCGAATTTTATTTTGAAAGAATTTATACTAACTAGTTTTTTTTGTTTGGGACGATTTACAACTTTAAAACGTAATGTCTCTGTGAGTGTGGTAATGTAGGCAGAAGACTAAATCACTAAAAGCAATAAACAAATAAAAAATTCTAGTGAACAAAGAAGGATAGCTTGTAATTACAAACAAAGCTGAATAATTATCGGATAAGTAAGATCACAAAATAAAATAAATTATCTTTTTAGAAAGCTTCGCAGACGTCCGACTGCTGCAGCAGCCAATCGAAATACAGTATTTTTGATCCGCTTTAATTGTATATCCACCTCAAATTTATTATAAAAGGAGTTACCTGCAAATTTCTTCCATTGCGAAATTGCTGTTTTCACAGAGAAAATAAACGTTTTATTGTCAAGAACTAGAAATAAGATGCCTGTGAAACCTGGTGTTGCTTCAAAAGGTGGGAAGAAAGCTGGCAAGAAAGCCGGAGTTGGCGGCGGCAAGAAGAGACGAACGAAACGTAAAGAAAGCTATGCTATCTATATTTACAAAGTTCTGAAGCAAGTCCACCCCGATACTGGTATCTCCAGCAAGGCTATGGGAATCATGAACTCGTTCGTGAACGATATTTTTGAGCGAATTGCCGGTGAAGCTTCTCGTTTGGCCCACTACAACAAGAAATCGACCATCTCATCGCGAGAAATTCAGACTTCGGTTCGTCTGCTCTTGCCCGGAGAGTTGGCCAAGCACGCTGTCAGCGAAGGAACGAAAGCCGTGACCAAGTACACAAGCAGCAAGTAAAAAGGTTTTCCTATAAACCTTCAAAACAAAACCGGCTCTTTTAAGAGCCAACAAATGTATGAAAGAATTGAACTAATACTCGATGATAATCGAATTTTTAACCGCACTAGGCGGAGCGCAGTACAATTTGCTTTGAAATTCGTTGTATAAAATACCAAGCTAGCAAGTTTATAAAACAGCTATAACTCAGAAACTAAAATTTGAACAGACTGGTGAGGTGTACATTTTAATAGCAGCAGGCGAGTATTTCGCCCCTGCCTGCCGTACAAAAATAAAATTGCAAACTTTGCTGCCTCATATTACTTGGCGTATGAACAATTGGTTTTCATATTCGGAAAGATCAGGCTTTTAGCTATTGAATGACATGCTTTTCATGACAAGTGGAGAAAAAATAAGCATGTACGAGGCCGATTAAAAATGTTAGTCAAAATCGCATATTTTCACCTCTGTGCCTAATTAAAACAATGCATAACAAAAGAAAAAGCAATTAATCACGAACGTGTCGTAGCTTAGCTAAGATTTATTCCAACTTAATAATTATGAATATGTGTGCAGTTTAATGAAGTGAAATTCATCAACTTAAGTCGTAAAGGGGGTTCATTTTCAATGGTTTTAG